GACAGGTCTGGTGGCTCATGCCTGTAACCCAAGCACTCTGGAGGCTAAGGCAGAAAGATTGCCCCAAGATCGAGACCCGACTGGTCTACATAGTGAGTTTAAGACCAGTCTGGACTTCATAGTGAGACAACCCCCAATTTTTTTTTGGGCAAATATAAAATAGTTATACAGACATATTACATCCCTGCATAAGTTTTTTTTCTTTTTAAATGCCAATGCTCATCCAGGCGTAGGGACAAACACCAACAGTCTCAGCTATTTGGGAGGCCGAAACAAGAAAAATTTATGTTTAAAAAAATTTTTTTAACAAAGAAAGGCTGAGCTTAATGAATTAACATCCAATTTAGGAAGTTAGAAAAAAAGATAAAACAATACATATAAAAGTGGAAGTTAAGGGAAATAGAGAACAAAAACACTGCCAAGGATATAGCTCAGTGGCACAATGCCTGCCTGGCAAGCACAAGGTCCTGAGTTCGATTCCCACTATCCCCCCCCCAAAAAAAACCCCCAAAAGTACATCAGAGAGGAGCAACAAAGCTAAAAGTTAATTCTTTGGAACAACTAATAAAATGAACAAGCTCTGGGGATACTGCCTTTGGGCTTGGAAAAATCCAAACACACAGTCAAGGCTTGACAAGATGCTGCCGGGGAGCTAAAACTGACTCCTTCAGAGGTTGCCACCCCTGTCCATGACAGTCTCCCATTCACTGGATTCTTTAATTCCCCACCGACTGGCGTCCTAAACTGCCAGTGTAGCATCCCCCAAACCCAACAAAGCCATCATCATCTATTCATTACCTGAGCGACAGTCAGGCCAGAAACCTTTGCGGACAGGTTTTAGCGCAGGGCGCCAACAAGACTTAAATGGCCCCTGAGGACCATTTCCATTTCCTGTCCTAGCCCCCTGACAAGGCACCTTCGAGTTGGTGTTCGTTTTGCATACAATCATAACCACAGAGGTTGCAGTATACTTACACTGAAGAAGGTTCTGTTACGGAACGGCAGAGACTTTGGCCGGGAGGGGCGACGCCAAGGGGAACATGGCCGCTCCCTGTACTTTTCCCTGAAAGCCGCCATCATAATGTTCATTCCGTACAGTGGGCTGTTCCACCGAAGAAAGGGGCAAAGGGGTGCCCACCGGTAGAAGCCTTCTGAAGGCAAGCGTCCAAAGGAAGTTGGTCTTTGGAACTGAATTTTATAGGTCTCTGTAAAGCTTATTGAAGCAAAAACGCCCCTCTCATCTGGGGCATAGAGAGGTGGATCCTGCTCTCCTAAGAGGTGCACTCAGCTAGAGGGGAAAGAGAGTGGTGCAATCCTCTCCTGGGCCAGACCAGTGGAATAAGGGGAGAAGTCGGTCAATGCAGTCCACCCTCCTGGGCGATACCACTGGTGTCTCACCGCAATTTTCGCACCCAGTCGGGCCTGCAATCCATTTCTCTGGAAGCTAAGGCCCCTGCACTCGCCAGGGCCGGGTGTGCAATGTACAAACACACTTCACAGTCTTTAAGGAGGGCGCAAGTTGGTGGCAACTGGGGGAGGAACAAGGAAGGGGACCAACCTAGGCAGAAGGGGGCTTTGTAACAGCAACTCACTGAACACCTGCTTGTTTCAGGGATGAAGAATTGGCTTAGTGTTGGGGGCGGGGGCAATAAACCCAGTTGTGGGGATCTGTCGGGCCAGTAATGGAGAGTACCTGGGGAGAGGGACAAGCGCTGTGAGTGATAGACAGTCTGTGGGGGTAAGGGATCTGATCGGAAGCCAGGTCACTGTTTGATAAAGGTTTATTATTTTCCGGGTTATTTCCCCATATTATAAAGTACTTCCTATTGAAGTATGACTATCTTTTCCTTTATAGAGAATACTGTGCTCAGGTACCCTGTCTCCACATTTATAGAAATATCATTCTGAATTTTTTTTTCATGTTTGACCTTTTAAAAGATTCCTTCATCTGTACAGAGTCTGGAGGTTATTGGGCGTTTTAGTGTGTATGGGGCACCTGCCTTTTCAAAAATGGTGCTTGTTTCTTTCCTTTGTAATTAGGATCTGACAGTAACCAACTTCGTGTTTCTTCCTAACTTTGTTACATAACTTCTATGTACCTACCATAATATGATGCTGGCCATTGGTTTGAAATTAAAATCTTAGCCTGCAATCTCAGCACTTGATTGGCATGGAGTTCGCTGCAAATTTCAGACCAGTCTGGGCTACATAGTGAGATGCTGTCTTGAAAAAAAATGAATATTTTTTTATAGAGAAAAAATAAAAATAACAATAAAACAGAGTTTCAAAACAGGGTAGTGGCCAGGCGTGGTAGTGCACGCCTGAAATCCTAGTACTTGGGAGGCTGAAGCAGGAGGATCACTGTGAGTTTGAGACCAGCCTGGGTTACAATGAGAGTTCAAGGCCAGACTGAACTGCATAGGGAGACCCTGTTTCAAAAAAACAAAAATAAACAACTAAATAAATAAGCAGGCTAGTAGGAGAGTAATAATAATGCATTTCATATTGTTATCTTCATAGTAGTTATTCAGAGTATATGATATAGGTATTAAATATTGTCCAAACAATATTAGCACAAACCTTTTTCAATGAACTAAGAGAAACTAGCTGTATAACTATTTTAACTATGGTGTGTGTGTGTATATATATATATATATTTTTTTTTTTTCCTTTTCCCTTCCTTCCTTTCCCCTTCCCCCATCACGGTTTCTCTTTCCTTTTCTCAGGGAACCCATCTTCCTGAACTGGGTCACCACCAAAAAGATGTGGCAGCTGAAGGCTATGCGGACCACCTGCGTGGGAACCCCCACACACACAACTTTCGTCTTTAGTTTCGATACCACCAACAGTTTGCTTTCCATGTTCCTGCTCCTCAGTGGCAGCATGACACGCCCCTCTAGACTTTTTTCCCCTTTGGAATCTAAGGATATGTAGTGGTGAGCTACTTGATATTATGTAAATATCTCATTATTCATAAAGATTCCATTTATTTTTTCCTTTTACTTATGTTAGTATGGACTCATGGTTTCCTCCTTTATTTGATAGGTTATAATATTTACTTTTATTACTTATTTTGATTTTTTTAATTTAAAAATAATTATACTCAGGTGTGGTGGCACACACCTGTAATCCCAGCACTCAGGAGGCTGAGGCAGGAGGATTACCATCATTTTGAGACCAGCCTGGGCTACATAAGTGAGTACAAGGCCAGCCTGGACTACAT